CTAGCCCAGCTTTTCCTTCACAAGACCAACACACAAAAACTAGCTATGTATTATACACCAGCAATGAACAATCTTTCTTTTTTTGGCAACAAACAGTCTTAAAAGAAAATTGAGAAAACAATTCCATAATTCACAATAGTATCAAAAAGAATAATACATCTTGTACCAGAGGCAACTTCATGTGCCTGAGGCGCAGGGAGGCCAAACAATACTGAAATGTTGTAGTCTGCAGCAAAGAAAGGTTTACTGCAGGGCAGAGGAAGAAGAACCAGTAGCTATTGCTCAAAAACCCCCAAACTCCCTGAAGGATTTCAGCAAAGCATTTTTAAAGACCAGGTGAGGAGGGGGCAGCCTTGGGCATGTGATCAGCTGTGCACAAGTCTCTGATTGGTTGATGGTGATCAGCTCTTAGGCACCAGAAGGGCTGGGGGTTACACGCTTATGATTACCAATCAAGTAGTTAATTTCTCCCATTTGGTGGTGGTTATTAGCATCTGAAAAACTCAGGAAATATACATCAGATACTATTATCTGAGTACTTCAGAGAGGAGCTACAGCAGAGGATATGGGGGAGGAGTCTGACCTGGGAAGGCCTCACAGGGTCCTGGTCCATCACAATTTCTCCCCTTTTCCTTGATATGCCACACTCTTGAGAACAGGTGTTGGACAAGAAGGAGGATAATGCTTTGGATAGAGAGGTTAATCATAAACTTGGCAGAGGAACTCGGTTTTAATTTCCAATCCTGTTTCATCTTTCCCCAAATCTTTCAGGGAAGAGGGCAATAAACTTTCTGGAAGTTTATTGGAAAATTCCTGCTGAAATGGGTGTAGTCCCACCTCGGTTTGGGGAATGGACCACAGCTACTCCATTTAGACTTTCAAATGCATTCCCCTCTTCAAGGCCAAAGCAGATGTACAATGCATGTCCAGAAGGCCAGAAAACAGGCTGCTTTGGTCAGTATAAGTTTAAGTTAAACCATGTAGAAGTCAGAATGATTTCCCATACTTCAATACATGGTTTTTCCATCATTTTGCATCATTCTGATTGCAAATCTTTCAATACAAAGCTGATGATCAGAATATCTATTCCTTAATGCTGGAGTGGTGGCTCTTGCCCCAGGTTTGAGACAGGAGGGAAGGGGGCAGGACACAGCCACTTAAGGAATGACAGCAATTTAACACCAAAATGGTGGAAGATTCACCAAAATGGTGGAAGATTCAACTCCCAGTTGGCCTTGAAGATTAAGAGGTTTGACTTCTAGTAGACCTTGAGCTTCATTATATGCTCATTGTAACAGTGATAAATAACATGCCCGCAGGCGCCAGGACAGCCCAAGGCTAACCGCAAACTGCCAAAGAATGGGTAGTGGCCCGATCCCTGGGAATCCCAGACCCTTCCCCAGGGCAGGTGGCATGATCCCACCAGTACCTTTGTGAAACTACTGAGTCATAAAAACAGGCAACACCAAGCCCAGTGGCCCTTTTTTTGCTCCCTTCTCTTTGGAGACGGCCCGCACTCTGTCTGTGGAGCGTGTACCAACTTTTACTTTAACCTGAGCACCTAATTCCCGCACCTCTTTCCTTGCCTTTCTCTTGCCTTACTCTCTATGCAGTACGTATCTCCCTAAATAAATCTACCATTACTCAACGGTGGCTCACACTTGAATTCTTTCCTGCGCGAGGTCAAGGACCCACACTTGGCGGGGCACGTCCCAGGGGTTCAACTGAGACCTAGGACATGGTCCTCCTCACGCCCCACATCTGGTTTCCCGCATCAGGTTCAGATCATGTCCCTGTTGCTAGGCCTCCTTTGTATTTGCCTAGTTATCCACACTGGGGGGAAACTCATCAGACATGGAGAACAGGCTCAGAGGTATATCAATGGGGAAACCCTCTATAGGCCATACATTTTATCACTTACAGCCAATTGTTACACAAGCATTGTACATATGCTTTTTTGTTTGTTTTTTTAAAGTATAGTTGATTTACAATGTTGTGTTAGTTTCTGGTGTATAGCATAGTGACTCAGTTATACATATGTATGTTCTTTTCAATATTCTTTTTCATTATAGGTTATTATAAGCTATTGAATATAGTTCCTTGTGCTATACAATAGGTCCTTATTGTTTGCCTATTTTGTATATAGAAGTTTGTATCTGTTAATCCCAAACTCCTAATTTATCCCTCCCCCTCCACCCCAATTCTGCTTTGGGAACCATAAATTTCTTTTCTATGTCTGTGAGTCTGTTTCTGTCTTATAAATGAGTTCATTTGTATCATTTTTTTAAAATTCCACATATAAGTGATAATTGCATTTCTCTGCCTGACTTCTCTTAGTATGATATCTCTAGATCCAACCATGTTGCTGCAAATGGCATTATTTCATTCTTTTTTATGACTCAATAGTATTCTATTGTACATGTGCTTTTAGCAATAGACTTAAAGCGAGTATTGTTATACATCTTGACTAGTTCTATTCTGTGACAACTCCATTAGAGAATTCTCTTTCTATCCTAAACATTGGGGGCAACAGTGTGGTTACAAGTAAAACAGTAACCTTCAATATTGATAGGGAGACAGACATTTGGTAAACAGTTTAATTTAAAAATGAGGATTAAAAGCCAGCAATATTTCAGACAAAACCAAAAAATTACAACCATATTCATCAGTCCACTCAATCCCATGCAACCAGTTCTCCTTACCAACAGCTTCATAAAATCAGAGTTTTCATTAGACTTTTTAAATATCCTACCCAGCTCAGTGGCATGATTTAAAGGAAATCTGCACTTGTCAAAATGTCCCCCCCCACTAATCCTCCTCAAGACAAAGCAGTCCTGCTAAGCATCAGTTTAAGTGTCTGAATGACAAAAGCCCCAAAAAGGCAAGGGAAAAGATCTCATTAACAATATTTTTGACAAAGAAGTTTAATCAAGTTACTGTGACATACAACATTCCAAGATAACAACCAGAATCACAACTGATAGCATTGTACCAGGAAATAACCAGATTTCAGAAACTCTGCAGTTTCTAGAATGTTCACACTAATAACATCCATCCATACCATACAGAGGCGGCTTATCACTCATTTGACAATACTTCCTGTACAATACAACAGTAATAGATATACATCATTCCCTCACATCGACATGCCTCACTTTCAGCAAAACCAGGGAGACGTAACAGGATTTGGACTCAGGTACTGAGATACACACCACACATACACCCCTAAGATAAAAGCCGATCATTTTCCAGGGAGTGGGTATAGCTCAGTGGTACAGCCCATGCCTAGCATGCACGAGGTCCTGGGTTCAATCCCTAGTACTTCCGTTAAAAAAATAAATAAAACCTTATTATCTTCCCCCACAAACAAATAAATCTTTCCCACCTTTATGTTTCTGATTTCTAAAGATAAGATTCTGGTTTGAAAAAAAAAAAGCCAACCATTTTCTTCCATTTATAGGAGCAAAGCTAAAAATCTCCCAGTTTTGCAAAAATACTCCAGGGAACTATGAGATGGAACAGAGCTCTAAATACCCATAAGAATTATTCATAGTTGGTGTTGTCAAATATCAAGGAAACAACAGGAAACAGCAATTCAAAACAGTCTCTCAGAATCACAGTTCCCTAGCCCCAGAAAGGGAGTTTCCCAACCAATTCCTCATCAGTCCAAAAGGGGCGACCCCCAGCCAGTGCCCCATCAGAGATGAGGCTGAAAGACCAAGGCTAGAAAGGGAAAATCCCAACCGACACACTAGGGAGGGATACCCTGGGGTTGTCCATCACACGCAAGCCCACTGCCCACCAAAGACGTCTCAAACTGCCAATGCAAAGTACTGATACACACACACATAAACAAAAAAACATGGCCCCACAAAAAAGGACCAGACAAGGTGTAGCCCCAAAATTCCACTTCCACTCCCAGACGGAGGCTTCCAGAGTGACCCAGCACTTGAAAGAGAACAGACCCAGCCAGAGTGGCTCACTTCCCAGTGAGAATGAGCCCAGAAAGAGTGGAGAGAATTCCCACCCTGCACAGGCTGGAGTGACTCACCCCCAAGCGACACTGAATGCGGACCTCAGCTCTGAACGTTTCTGGGCTCCAAACAGCCTCATGCCGTGGGGCGGCGGCTGGTGCCGGTCAGGTGCCCGGTTCCCTGGAGCAAAGTGAGGTCCAGCAGCTGCTGGGGGCCCAGGGAAGGGCTGCCCCAGGTGGGGCTGACCCATCATGGGACAGACTCCTGGCTGGCTTGGCCAAAATTGTTACTGAACACAAGTTCGTGTGCTCCACACGCAGGGAGACCAAACAAACTGAAACGTGGGCGTTTGGAGCACAGACAGGCTTACTGCAGGCCCAGCCAGGAGAAAAGTGGCTCAAACCCAACCACGCCCCCAAACTCCCTGAATGGTTTCAGCTGAGCATGTTTAAAGGCTAGCTGAGGGAGGGGCGTCCCAGGGTTTGTGATCAGCTGTGCACAATTCTCTGATTGGTTGATGGTGATCAGGAAGGCACTGGAAGGTCTGGGGGCTACGTGCCCATAATCGTCAAGTTGTTAACTTCTTCCATGTGTTGGTGGTTTTTAGGAGCTGAAAAACTCAGGAAATATGCATCAGATACTATTATCTGGGTACTTCACAGAGGAGTCGCAGCAGAGAATATGGGGGAGGGGTCTGTCCCAGGAAGGCCCCACCAAGTCCTGCCTGGTTACAGATCTAGGAATCAATTTACTCAAGGACGCGAAAGACTTGCACATGGAAACTACAAAGCATTGCTGAAAGAAATTATAAAAGACGCAAATGAGAAAACATCTTCTGTTGACGGATTTGAGGACTTAATTTTTGTTAGGATGGCAATACAGTCGGCCCTCCCTATCCACAGCTTCCACATCCATGGATACGGAGGTGGACTATATACTTGGCCACTTTATGTAAGGGACTTGAGCACCTGCGGATTTTGGTATCTAGGGGAGGTCTTGCAACCAATCCCCCACAGATACCAAGGGATGACTGTACTCTTCAAGGTGGTCTATGAATCCAACGCAATTCCTGTCAAAATTCCAACAGTCTTATTTACAGAAATGAAAAACCAGATCTTCAAATTCTTATGAAACTTCAATGAATCCTGAAGCACCAAAACAATCTAAAAAAAAAAAGAACAAATTTGAAGGGCTCACGGTTTCTGGTTTCAAAACTTACTATAAAACTACAGTAATAAAAACAGTGTGATACTGACATAAGGATAGACATAGTGCTGGAACACCTGGATATTCATATGCAAAAAGTTAACTTGGACTTCTACCACCATATATAAAAATTAAAATGGCTCAATGACCTAAATATAAAAGCTAAAGCCATAAAATTCTTATAAGAAGACAAAGGGGTAAATCTTTATGAGCTTGGATTTGGCAATGGATTCTTAGATATTACACCAAAAGCATGAGCAACAAAAGAAAAAATAGATAAATTATTCGTTAAAATTAAAAACTTTTCTTGACAAAGGACACTGTCAAGAAAGCAAAAAGACAACTTACAAAATAGGAGAAAATATTTGCAAAGCATATAACTGATAAGGGTCTAGTATCCAGAATATATAAAAGACATTTACAACTCAACAACAAAAATGCAAACAAGCCAATTTAAAAATGGGCAAAGGACTTGAACAGACTTTTTTGCAAAGAAATTATGCAAATGGACAACAAGCACATGACAAGATGGTCAATACCATTAGTCATGAGAGAAATGCAAATCAAAACTACAATGATGGGGAATATAGCCAATATTTTGTAACTATAAATGGAGTATAACCTTTAAAAATTGTGAATTACTATATTGTACATCTGTAACACATAATATTGTACATCAACTACACTTCAATTTAAAAAACATGCTATTGTAAAATAAATACATAAATAAAAAATAAAAATTAGTAAAAATAAAACATTAATTAGGTAGAGCCATACCTGGTGATATAGAAGGATTTCCTATAAAGTAAGCAAGTGTAGAAAAGAAAAAAAACTACAGTGACATATACCACTTCACACCCATTATGATGACTATTAAAAAAAATAGAAAACAAGTATTGGATAAGGATGTGAAGGAATCTGAACTCTCATATGTTGCTGATGGGAATGTAAAAATGATTCAGCTGTGGATCCTCAAAATGTTAAACAGAGAATTCCATATGATCCTCTTTTTAAACCCCAGGCATAAACACCATGGGAATTGAGAACAGGTACTCAAAAAAATACTGGTACATGAACATTTACACCAACACTATTTACAATAAACAAAAGGTGGAAACAACTCAAATGTTCATCAGTGGATAAATGAATAAGCAAAATGTGGCATATATGGACAATGGAATATCATTCAGCCATGAAAAAGAATGAAGTATTTATTAATGCAACATGGATAAACATAAAAAATATCACGCTAAGTGTAAGAAGCCAGACACACAAAGTCACATATCGCATGGTTCCATTTATATGCAATATTTAGGATAGGTAAATAAATACAGATAGAAAGTAGATTGATTGGTGGTTTCGCCAAGGGCCAGAGAAGGGAGGAATGGGGAGTAACTGTTTAATGGGAACAGGGGTTTTTTTGGAGGTGATGAAAATGCTTCAGAATTAGGTAAAGGTGTAAGTTGAGCAACACTGTGAATTTACTAAATGCCACTGAATTGTTCACCTTAAAATTAGTTAGTTCATGTTATCTTAATCTTACCTCATTAAAAAAAAAAGTGTATACCAAAAAAAACAGGAGAAAAATTTCACAAACCTTGAGCAAGCACAGAATTCCTAGACAGGACGTAAAAATCACTAACCATTTTTTAAAAACTGACAAACTGTGCTTCAGCCAAATTTAAGTCTTTGCTCATTAACAGAGCAAGATAATTAAAAGCAAAGCTACAGGGTAGGAGAAAGATTCAAAATGCGTTTATCTGATAAAGGACTCACCTAGATATATAAAGAACTCCTCCAAATCAATATTAAAAGATAAATAACCCAACAAGACCGAGCAAAAGGCTTGAACAAATACCTCAGAAAAGAAGATACATGAATAGCCAAGAAGTACATGAGGAGATGTTTAGAATAATTAGTCACCAGAGAAATACAAATTAAAACCACAGTAAGATACCACTACACATCCACTACAGTTAAAAGGACTGACAGGAGGCAAGAAGGAGGTGAGTATCTGGAACTCTCATACATTGCTGTAAAATGATACAATTACTTGAGTAAAATATTTGGCAATTTCTAATAAAGATAAAAAAAAAAGCTGACCCTATGACTCAGCTGTTCCACTCTTAGGTATTTACCAGAGACAAGGGAAAACCTATGTCTACGAAAAAAAAAATGTCCAGAGGTGTTCACAGTATATATATTTATAAAAGCTTCAAAAGTTGGAAACAGTCCAAAATATATATCAACAGGAGAATGGATGGCCAAATTATGACATGTTTGTACAATGAAATACTACTCAGCAATAAAAAGGAATAAAGATCTGATTCTCACAGCAACACGAACAACATGATGGTAAACAAATGGAGAGAAAAAATTCAGACACAAGATTCCATTTACGTAAAGGTATGATTCCATTTATATAAAGTTCCAGAACAGGCAAAAACTAGTCTATGATGATCAAAATCAGAACAATGGTTGTCTCTGGGAGGAGGCGGTAGTTACTGGAAAGGGGCCTAAGGGAATTCTCAAAAGAAACGGGAAATGTAGATTTGGGTGATGTTTGCATGGGCGTACATGTATGTCAAAATTCACGGATTTGTACCGTTAAGAATCTACTCATTTTATATATGTGAAATACTTAATATCTGTTTTAAAATCAGACAGGCATCAGACTTCTCTACCAGCAACACTCAAAGCTAGAAGACAATAGAGAAATGTCTACCGAGTTCTGAAGGAGAGAGTGTGGACCATGAAGAAGGTGATCAAAAGGTACAAACTTCCAGTTAAAGGTAAGTAAGTATGAGGGCTGTAAGGTACAATACGACTGTTGTTGACACGGCCGTGTGACCTGTATGACAGTTGTTAAGAGTAGATCCTAAGAGTTCTCATCACAAGGAAAATGTTTTTTCTTTTTCTTTTTATTGTGTCTATATGAGATGATGGATGTGAACTAAACTTATTTCAGTAAACATTTCACAATATATGTTAAGTCAAACCATTATGCTGTATACCTTAAACTTATACAGTGATGTATGTCAATTATATCTCAATGAAACTGGAGAAAAAATAACTTTTTAAAAAAGTTTTAGAAGAGGAACCTGTTCACAGGCATAGAGAGCAAACTTACGGTTACTGAGGGGAAGAGGGTGGGAAGGGATAAATTGGGAGCTCGAGATTTCCAGGTACTAAGTACTATATATAAAATAGATAAACAACAAGTTCATACTGTAGAGCACAGCGAACTATATTCAATATCTTGTAGTAACTGTAATGAAGAAGAATATGAACATGAATATATGTATGTATGTGTATGACATTATGCTGTACACCAGACATTGACACAACATTGTAAACTGATTATACTTCAATATAAAGAATGCAAATTTAAAAAAAGAGGAGCCTGTTGTTTCACAAATTGGCCCGTACACAAAGGGCAAGGAGAAAAGAAAGAGGCAGCTCACTCCAGATTAGCAGGTGGCAGGTTTAATAAACAAGGGAATTTACTTGCCAGGCTTGTCTTGGGCAGCCACAGACAAGATTTCTGCACCCACCCGCCAGAATCTTTAAGTTTATATAGAGGCCTTAATGGGGTTCAGTCGTGTATTCCATCCAGATGTTCTCAGCAAGACATCCACTTGCAGCCTACACTGTCAAGGCTGCCCTTGAAACAGCTCCCACAGTGGGAATGGCAGGCAGAGCATACACTCCAAGGACAGGGACGGGGTGAGGAGCCTCTGCCTGCCTGAGTCCAGCTTGGGGGTCAACTAGCAACACACTCTCTGGATGACCTCCCAAAGAGCCTAAGGAGACATGACAACTAAATATAATGTGGTGTCCTGGATGGGGTCCTGGGAGAGAAAAAGGATATTAGGCAAAAACCAGGAAATCTGATTAAACTATGGATTTTAGTTAATAATAATGTGTGAATATTTGTCCATTAATTGTAACAGGTGTACTATTTGCTACTAATTTACTAATGTAAATTGTTAGTAGTAGAGAAATCTGGGTGTGGGGCATGGGGGAACCCTCTGTACTATCATCACAATTTTTTTATAAATCAAAAAACATTATTATATTAAAATAATAATAAAAATAATACAAAATTAAAAAAAATTTTGTGTGGACCCCAAAATATTAAAACTAGTCAATCTTTTATTCAAATAAAAAGTCAGGAGGTAAACATTCCCATCACTAATCTGGATGATGATTATAAGATACGTTCATTTTGTGAAAAAATTTATTGAGATTTATCTCTATGAATTGTGTGCATTTTTCAGTAAGAATTTGTTTCATATCCATAAAATGGGTATATTAAAAAAATGTACCTAATATAACTATTGGATATTGAAAAAGCTATGTACAATATATACAATAACATGTATATACAATGATAGATTCTAGAACACAGTAAATACTCGATAAATGTTGTACATTGTTTTAATTAAAAGAAAAGAATACTCTTGATTTATATTTTAAAAATTCTGGAAGGGGAGGAAAAATAGAATGGGGGTGTATCTGAAAAAATGCTAGGCAGAAGTTAATAATTCTAAAGGTAGTTAATGGGCTCATGAGGGTATTCTACTTTTTTATATATAAATATTTTCTCATAATAAAAAGAGAAAGTAATCATTAGAAACAAGCGTTCTTTTTATGAAGAAGAAATTGTATTAAAATTTGGCAAAGTAAACTAACAAAACCTAGTCTTTGAAATCTTTCATGAGGGGAGTGGCCAAGATGGCAGAGTAGGAGGACCCTGAGCTAACACAGGCACACCAAAATTACAACTATTTACAGAGCAACCACTGATGAACAAAACCAGAAGACTAGCAGAAAAGATCCACAACTAAAGACATAAACAAGGAACCAGAATGAGATGGGAAGGGGGGCAGAGATCCTGTATAGTCAAGACCTACACCCCCAGGAGGGTAATCCACAAGGGGGAGGACAATTGTAACTGCAGAGGTTATGCCCAAGGAGGGAGTGACCCGATCCCCTCACTGGGCTCCCCAGCCCAGGAGTCTCTTGCATTTCTGTATACTTACAATAAATTAGCCATCTGTATGTCTTCATTGGAGAAATGTCTGTTTAGGTCTCCTGCCCATATTTTTGATTGGGTTGTTTTTTGTTGTTATTGAGCTATATGAGTGATTTGTATATTCTGGAAGTTAAGCCCTTGTCAGTTGCATCGTTTGCAGATACTTTCTTCTATTCTGAAGGTTGTCTTTTCATTTTGTTTATGGTTTCCTTTGCTGTGCAAAAGCTTATAAGTTTAATTAGGTTCTATTT